TCTGTTCTGAATTGCCTTTAGTTCAAAATAATTCTTATGCCAAAGTGGCATGTTTGGAGATGGTACATTATAATCCCTTTTGATATAAAACAAAATAGTTACTGAAATATAGTTTGGAAAATATTTTAATAGGATAAACCAATACATTAAGGGGATTTATTTTAAAAACATATTATTCCCAAAGGTAACTATTTTAGGAGTCAGTCAGCTGACTGGCTAAATTCTTATGGTATGACCTGAAGTTTCTTCATTTTTCCAATGCTCGGGGGAAGCAAGATTTAAAATGAAGTAAGGAGACTTGAGGGGTGGAGAGGAGAATGGGTTGGAAGATGGAACAGATTCAGGATCTTAACTCTGCAAATCTAGCACCATAGAATTGAGTGACTAGCTTTCTAAAGTTGCCTAACCTTTGTTTTATCTTTTATTTAATAGTAGGTGTATACATAGGCCTAACCAATTCTGGATTTTGGGATTATGATAGTACCAAATGGTATGACATGACAGAAACGATCTATCTTGAACTTCAAGAAGGTAATTCCTCCACTGGTGTCTTTGTCTTTAGCATTTCACTTACATCAACACGGGATCAAAATGTATGAACTGTGGGGCCAGCAGGTGGTGTGATGGTCGGGGCACATGGCTGATTTTTAAAAATCATAATCACTATCATAATAAATAAAATTAAATAAGTCTTTTAAAATTATGAAATATATTTGTTTTGCTAAGGAGCTCACTTTTTTCTTAACTTTTAAACCCATGGTATAATTTATTCCTTCAGAACACACAGAGCTTTCAGTGATGGATCTAGTTTTAACCAATCATTTTTTAGTTATCCTCACCTCTTTGGGTCTTTTTGTAAGTGAAGATCTTCGTTATCCATCAGGTCAATTCCTAAAGGTATGTGAATTTCTTTATATTAATCTTAAATATCTCCTGTGTTATAAAACATTTTATATTTGAGTTATGTGTGTATTATCTTAGAATTAAAGTGTTTCTTTTTTAAAAAGTAAGCATAATAGAGCAACTTTTTATTTTGCCTTATTGTATTGAAGGCACAATTTAGAAATGGTGCTGGTTTTATTGCTGTACAAAGTTACAGTAAATTTTAAATACGTTAAATACGTAAATGTAGAAAAGACTTATCTGTCTACTTAACTTCCTATTCATTAATAGTGAGATATGTTCCCAAAATGCTTTAAGGTAATTTCTTAAGCTAAATATAGTGTTACAAAGTAACGTAAACAAAAAGCAGGGGGCCAGCAGGGTGGGGTGATGGTTAAGGTGAGTAGATCCAACATGGCCGATTGCTGGGTTGAATCCTGAACTGGCAACTTGAAAAAAATGCTGGTGCATGTGTGTGCATGCTCAGAATCCTAGAGGAGAGAAGAGAAGGAGGGATTGAAGCACAGTCATTCCCCTTGGAGGGTGATTTCTCACTGTCTCTCTGTCTCTGTCTCTCTCCAGTGAATACACATGCCCTATAGCAAAACTAAAATAAATCAGTAAAAAATAAATGTTAGAACTGAGAGAAGGGGAACATGCTGAGGTGAAGATATGCAATGTGTATACCTGAAATTCTCAAGTATGTTAAGAAATGCCTCTCAAAACTTGCTACAACAGAGATAAGAACAGAAATAAAAATTTAGGAAAGTAGGGAGAAAAGACCAGGGGATGTAAAGAAGGGCAAGTGCATTGATTGAGAAGCAAATATTTCTTATACATGGTAATAATTATCTTTCTTTCGATATATAACTATCCATAGCCTCTCCTAATCCCTTACCACCTCTGAAAAAGTACCCATTGGTTACTCAGACAACTATTAGATGTGACCCTTTATGTGTTTATAATATAATTGCTAAAATAGAGTTGAAGAAGCTAGAGAGACTACACTGGGTTAAATTGAAAGGCCAGAGAAGTAAGCATGGCTCTATATCATGAGTCCTGACCTCTGGTCTGCACTGCAATGGGCACAAGAAACAGACTGGCAGAGAAAACAATAGACTGAGCGTGGACCTTCCTAAACCCAAGTGGGTGGCACACTTAGTATTTCCCTGTGCACTTCCTAACCCCTGCATTTAAACCATTAAAGAGTATGGTTTTCATCTCAATTCTTGTCTGGAATTACGTTCAGGTATGTATAAACGAATAAAATAGTGAAACAAGGCAAAAACTAAGAGGGAACTCTCCAGGATATTGTGTAAATAACTTCAGAGGCTGGTTCCAGTATTTGATCATATTAACTGCTGGGTTAGAAAAAAACGATTTCCTTTGGTATAATTTAAATTGCTATATACTTTGTTATGCTTTCTGATATGCAATCAAAAATTAAAGGTCTTTTTTTTTTTCTTCTAGCTTTCAAGGGCAGACTTTTGTGGTTTTGAAAGGGTAAGAAACTTTAAACTTCAAAAAGTTGGTTAAAAGATGTGTTTAATTGGTGACTTAACAGATGAGATGCACGGCAGTACTTCACGAAATAAATTATTCCTGTTACTATAACATTACTTTGGGTAAAAATATTTTCAGCAACCATTAAATAATGATCTCCTTTTCTGTTTCAAAGGAATGAAGCTCTTCCTTTTTTCAAAGGTCACCCCTACCCTCTTCTCATATATTCTGTCTAGGCCTGCTATGGTTATTCAGGTCACACTCTGACAAGGACATTGAAGAGAATAGCTGTATTCTCAGACTTAACACTTTACTTTCCAATCCATCTACCCTGCTGTAGGTCTGTGCCTACGTAGAGAAAGGGGCACTTTTTCTAGTTTGCACAGAAATATTCTATAATCTTGCCACAGATCTGCTCCTGGCCTTTTGGGGGATTTTGTCCCACCAGTTATCTCCCCTCTCTGTTACAAGGTCAGTTTTTGTCATTGAACTAGGCCATTCCTATCAACATAAAAGCATGCTTCAATTGGAAAACCACAAATGAAATGATAAATAGTCCTAGCCTTTTGCCACACCCTAGCCTCATTTTGTCCTCCTATAAGCCTTTATGCACGCGTGTGCATGTGCACATACACCCATACTCACATCGTCTGAGAGAAGGAGAACTTATTTCTCAGGAAGGAAAAAGAATTTACTGTCATACTAATCAGAGGAAAAATGAAGCTGAGAACTGAAAATGTCAGTTTAGGCAAAATCGGTTTACACTTGAAAGAACAAGGGAAATAATTGTCAAGATAGAATTCTAAACCTAGCTAACTACTATCATTCAAGAATTTTTTCTTTCTTTTTTCTTTATTTTAATTTTTATACTAAAACCTTTTTGAAATTCATACAGTTTTCTCATTACATGTATTTCCATGAGCTTTTTTTTCTGAAATTTTTAAAAATTAATTTATTTACATTCATTCCCTAATTAAGGTGAAGAGTCAGCGTAGTAGTGCAGCAGTTGACAAGGGTTTGAGTCCTGCCTCAGAGGCTTGAAAAACACACAAGATGCAGACACATGTTCCCAGAATCCTGACAGGAAGGGGAGTTGGAGGAGAAAGGATTACAACATGACTAGTCCCCATTATGGGGATTCCCCCCCACCATGTGCATGAATCCTTGGTTATTATTTTTATTTTTAAAAAAAGAAATCCATCAAGGGAACCAGCAGTTAGCGTAATGGCTATGTCGCTGGACTCCCATGTAGTCGACCGCGGTTCACGTCCCGGACCCAATGGCTTAAAACTCATGCCAGGCACGTGTGCGTGTGTGCCCAAGATCCCGGGAGGAGAATGGAGGAGAAGGGATTGCGGCGTGACCATCCCCTCTGGGGGGGTGATTTCTCGCTTTCTGACTCTATGTCTCTCTCTGTCTGTCTGGTGAGGGCACGCGCCCTATAGCAAAAACCTCTCAAAAAAAAAAAAAATCCATCAAGAAAGATACAAATAAATGGAATGACCAATGTCTATTCCACGGTCATGAATTTTAAGATTTACCATTGTTAGTGTCCATATTCCCAAATTGACTGACAGATTCAATGCAATCCCTATCAGGTGGAAGAAAATTAATTTTCACAGATAAAAACATTGGGAGAGGGACCGGCAGATGGTGTAATGGTTTTGTCACTGAACTCTCACATAGTCAACTGTGGTTCGAGTCCCAGACCTGGCAGCTTAAAACTCATGCCAGGCACGTGTGCGTGTGTGCCCAAGATCCCGGGAGGAGAATGGAGGAGAAGGGATTGCAGTGTGGCCTTCCCCCTTGGGGAGTGACTTCTGTCTCTCTGTCTCTCTCTGTCCTTCTGGCAATCTCGTGTGCCCTATAGCAAAAATTTCTCCAAAGCAAAGCAAAACAAACAAACAAAAAGCCATTGGGAGAGTTTACCACTTAGAGATCCCGTGCAGTAGGGAGCAATGATGAGAACCAGAATGTAAGCTCTGAATTATTTGAGAGCAGGAACTTTTCTGTGCTATTCATCACAGATTCCTTGGGTCTAGAATGGTGCCTTATACAATACAGGTGCTTAGTAAATATTTGTTAAAAGAATAGAGTTGGGGGACCAGCAGTTAGCATAATGGCTATGTCGCTGGACTCCCATGTAGTTGACCATGGTTTGAGTCCCGGACCTGGTGGCTTAAAACTCACCGCGGGTGCATATGCATGCGTGACCAAGGTTCCAAGAGGAAAATGGAGGAGAAGGGATTATGGTGTGGCCATCCCCCCTGGGGGGTGATTTCTCATTTTCTGTCTCTCTGTCTGTCTGGCGCGCACACACGCCCTATAGCAAAAAAAAAAAAAAAAAAAAAAGAATAAGTTGGAACCAGCTGGTGGCATGGTGGTTAATGTGGCTGGATCTCACATGATCAACTGCACAATTCAAGTCTCAGATCTGGTGGCTTAAAAAATTTGTCAGGTACATGTGCGTGTGTGCCCAAATCCCAAGAGGAAAATGGAGAAGAGATTGCAGCATGGCCATCTCTCCAGGGGGGTGGGGGTGGGGTGCTTTCTAGTTTATGTCTCTCTGTCTCTCTTTGCCAAGTGCACATGCTCTATAGCAAATGTTTTTAATGGAATTGGTGTATGCAAGTTACAAATTATGTTTAACAATTGAGTGGAACCAAAATTATAGACACTAAAACAAAGAGGAATGAAAATAGTTTTGCTTGGGAGAACAATTGATATGGGGAATAATTTTAGAATCTGTTAGAAAAATGTATAGTTTAATATATATGTTAAGAATTAAAGGATAATTATTGAAAAAGAAAGAAGTAAAACCTAAAGCTTCTAAGCCACCAGAGGAAGAAAAGTAAATATTAAAAAAATAATCCATCATGGACCAGCCTTGCAGTCTAGTAGTTAAGGAAACTGGATTCCACATGGCCAGTTCAGTTTAAATCCTTAAGTCCAGCAGTTTGAAAAATACACTAAACACGTGTGTGTGTGTGTGTGTGTGTGTGTGTGTGGTGTGTGTTGCCCCCAAAAGCTGGAATGGATGGAGAAAAGGAGAAGGGATTGTGGTAAGATCATGCCCCGTTAAGGGAGCACTTTCTCTCTCTCTCTCTCTCTCTCTCTCTCTCTCGTAAGTGCACATGCCCTCTGGCAATTTATAAAAAAGAAAAGAATAGTCCATCAATTCCCCCAAAAGCAAGAAAGGACAAATAAAAGGAAGAGTCAAAAGGTAACCTCATACCCTAGTGTTTAAGGAAGTAGGATTCCACATGGCCAACCATAATTCAAATGCCACCCTTGTGGCTTGAGAAAATATACTAGGCAGGTCTACCCCAAGTCCCAGCAGGATGGAGAAATAGAGGAGAAGGAATTGTGGCATGACCACATACCATTGAGGGGTGATTTCTCTATGTCTCTCTCTGGTGTGGGCATGCACCCTCTGGCAGATAATAAAAGGGGGGTCCTGGGGGACGAGTCAAAATAAAGAATGAAAAACTAGAAAGTATGATAGAAATAAATTTGAATACATCAATAATTACAGTGTAACCAAACATGATAGAAAATGAATGAAAATCTAGCTATACACTAATTACAAAAGGTACACCTAAAACCAAATCACACAGGTAAAATAAAAGGATAGAGGAGACTGTGGCCAGAGCCTTGCTTCTGAATCTTCAACTCATCAGCTCCTGTCTCCACTTTCCCTGTGTGCTAAATCAGGAGGCTACTGGGGTTGCTGGACATCCTGAGTTACATGAGGCCCACTGTGAGGAGATCTGCCATGTTCTACCTCTCTCACACTTTGTGTGAGAACAAGGCACTGGCTACACAAAACAATGGGCTGAGAATTGGTAGATGAAAGACCCTTGAGAGAACTTGTCTTACAAAACTTCATGAACTCTCAGAGGCTTCTCTCAACCTTGAAAGTGTGGCTGAAAGTGAGGCTGGAAAGAAGCCTACTGGGTAATCTCTGTTGTCTGTGCCTGAGGTGGCAGGTCAGGTCCAAGGGGACCTCGAAGCCGAAAAGCCTCTGTAGCATTCCAAGGTAAGGGAATGGCAGCCCAGAAGGGTAGACACCACTTTGCCTCTGTCACTCCAGTATTGCTACAATTTGAAGTATCTCCATAAAATCATACCTGAACCCTCCCTTCAAACCATGTCTAAGGTAGCCCTGCATCCTGAGACAATAAAATCATTAGAATCAGAACATACATGAGAGCTACTGGTGGAGAAGGCACAGCTGAACAAGAGCAACAAAACTCAGTTAATGGAATGATTTGGCAAATACCCAGTGAGCACCTACTCTGCAGTTACTGTCATGGCCTTGGGATATTAGCAAGAACTGGGAAGTCAGTGTCCATAGGAGTTTCAAATGCAGCATAAAAACACTCTCAGGGACTAAATACCAAGATTTCAATTAAAGAATGAAATAAATTGAAGGGTAGAGTAGCCACTGTTTAGATGCAGTTTAGAAGCATGGAAGATCAAGATGAAGAAACTTCTCAAGCCATCTAGGGAAAATAACTGGAAATCATGAAGGCAATGAGACTTTGAGGAGAAATGAGATGAGCAGAATAATTTTCAGGAGGAATTTTTTAAAAAGCAGAAGAGAGAGAACAATAAAATAATGGTAGAAGAAAATTACACTGAGATTAAGAAAAATCTAAAACTGTACATTGACAAGGCTCACTAAATTCCTGGAAGGATTGGGGGTGGGGGGTGGGGAATGTACTCAAAGGCATGTCCTAGTAATATTCCTGAATTTGAAGGTTAAGAGGGAAATACAAGTTTTCAAACAAAGAACAAAAGCAAAACATACCTCACTGGTATTGGATTTTACTCATACAATAGTAGAAGCTTGAAGACAGTGAAATCTACTTTTATAGACTGTTGAGACAAAAGAACTGAAGTCTAGAATATCCAGGATTTTTTTTCATATTAATAATTTAGAGCAGATGACCCAGTTATTGCAACTAATGAAATATTCAAGAAGGAACTTCAAGGGA